CACACACACACACACACACACACACACACACACACACACACACACACCCTTTCAGGCTCATTCTACCTTTGCCTAGTCAATTAAATTACATATCAGATTTCAACTGAATCTTGACTCAGCAGCTACAGTTAAATGTCCCTAAGCTTTTCACCTTATCAGCATATAAATCTTCAGGCTCTTTTCAATACTAATCATTTATGTTTCTAATATGCCTTGATTTTGCCCGAACTATTAATTAAACTACAAACAACCACCTTTCCCTTGTCCTTTGGTACTTCTCAATCAGAGAGAATAAATACATGGGAAATTTTAAAACCAGCGGTTGACAGGAGATTAACTAAAAATAAAGCGAACCTGCTCCAGAACCACAGTAGAGCCATCGAGACTGAGGTATTTAATTCGGTTTATGGTTTCAGAAGGTTAGAGTCTATAAGGGCAGAGCAAATGAGTGGTATTGCAAACAGCACAGAGCTCAGAATTTTACCCACATCAGGAGGCAGAGAGAGCACACTGGAAACAGCTTGAGTGTTTCAAAATCTCAAAGCTTACGAGTGGCACACCTCCAACAAGAGTTCATTATCTAATCCTTCTCAGAGAGTTTCAACTGGGAAACTAAGTGCAAAGTGTGTGTGTGTTTGTATGTGTGTGTGTGTGTACACTCATGAATATAAATGTTAAATAAAACAAATATTTTTTAAGGCACAGCAAAAAGAAGCTTCTGGAAAGAGACTTAATCAGAGTGGCTGTAGAAGAAAGAACAATCACAGGGGTTCATATAGTCCAAGACCATCTTTGGTAACTATTATAAACTTTAGGCTCTGACATAGGAAAAGTTGTGGCAAGAAGCATGAATTTTGTACATACCATATTTGGATAGAGTCATGGCTCAGTACCTACAGTAAAATTGTCTATCACCCTCTCATCTTAACACACTATGTATCTTGGGAGTCTTTTCAATACTATTTGTAATAACCTTGATTTTACCTGAGCAGGTAATTTAACTATACACAACACTTTCTTGAGAAACAGTTAGTTGAGTGTAATGGGACAGACTACCCACAAATTGTATGTGATGGCTGAGGTTGCACTCTACAGCAGAAGCAATCATCTTACAGGAAACCTTTTGTCCCTTCAAAAGGTAAAGTTTTCTTTAAAACAACTTGGAGAATCAAAGCTATGATGGTCATCAGATTATTACTTGACAATGGCTGTTTACAAACTCAGGATTTATTAAAATTTCAGTTAGGCCTTTGTTATTAATTATCTCTTTGACCTTGACCATATTACTGTCGCTTATGTAGATGAAATGATTGAAACCTGAAGATAAGGTAATCAATTTGTGTTTGTAGCCAAGATATCAGTATCTTAGTTCATTTTGTAGGAAGCAATGAAGATCCTGGTCTTAAGAAGTCTTCTCTTAATCATTGACACAATCAAACTCCTTCCTTTATAGAATTCCAAAGATATCAAAATGACTTATTTTACTTATTACCATATGATGTCAAAATTATCTGTAAAGGCACAAATCAAGTCACCAAGCAGACTTAACAATAAAGCCTTACAGTGGGAAGGATGAAATGGCACCAGAACACAGAAAAGTTTGGTACTCCCGGATTAATGCCATACATGACTTGGGTTGGAGCATACACTTACGGGACTTTTTGGTGGTGACGTTGACGGGGGGACTTGAGGGTCCTGTCCCTGCAGTGTTGTAGGCTCTCACGGAGGCAAAGTAAATTGTATTAGCTCTTAGCCCTGTAATGTTCTTGGTTGTGACGTTTCCACTGACTCTAGTCTTACCAATCATGGATTCTTTAGAGTTGTCTGTCCAGTATAAGACCTGAGTAGTAAAACCAAATGATGAAAAATTTATTGCTTTCTGAAACATATCAACCATTGGAGCAGAGTAAGATGACATGGGTATAAATGATAAAACCTCCCCAGCAAAATGTTAATAGATAGTAAACAAGAAATACTCACCATGAAAGAAGAGAACCTAGGAAGTTTTAGGTTACCAAAATAATTAATGAACTATCTAAAGGTTATAAACTCTAACTAAGGGCATATACAACTCAGACCAAAACAAATTCCACATCATCAATCAAATTTTCACATGTTTTGTTATTCCCATTTCTTTCAGAGTTCTTGGAGTCCCAGGATATTTAATAACTCAATCCACAGTGATCACTTGCTGTGAAAAACAGTGTTTCAGATACATTTGATACAACACAAAAGAATATGAATTTCAGACAAGCTCTTAAGCCCTCAAATCTAGCAAGTTGGAATCTAAATGTATAAAGAAATCATAGGATGCATTCTAACAACTGGGAAGTAGAACAGCTGATGTTAGAATTTGAAGGGAAGCAATGATGGTCAGTGAGGAGTACAGAAATTAGAAAGCCACCAGTCCTTGGGGCTTGACATTCTAGGCATGGAGTTTCAAAGGAACCTGAGCTGGAGATTTTGTTTCCTTCAGAGGATTATAAGAAAAGGTTCAAGGAAAAATCACAAATATTTGGAAAGCTGTTGTTCTATAAAAGACTAAATAGCTATGCCCTAATTACTGAACTTGAAAGACAAAGACCAATAAGTGATTAATGAGGTTTCCTTTACATATCTTCAGTCGTTCAGCTTTGTGAAACAAAGTCCTATAAGTGTATTTTGTTTCATTTTGTGCAGTTTAAATGGAAGAAGGTGAGGAAAAGCTGCATTATTTTTCCCCTTGTCACTTAGGTCCCTCAACCTTGATGATTAAATCTCTTCAAGTCAGAGCCTAAACAAATTTCTTGTTAAAATTCCATAGTTTAAGATCTAAAAGGGTTTGAATTTACCCCTTTCTAAGAACACAATGACTATAGTTTGAATAATTAAATAATTTAAGTTTGTGATGACTTGAGAATATTGTGGTAAGAACATTTCACATGAGCTCTGTCCTCTCGGCAGGTTTTTATGAATATTTTTCCTGCAGTGTTATAGGCTACTCATCTTACTTAATTGTAACTATATGCCTATTAAAATAGATATTTCATAGTGGTGAATTTGTCTGCTTAAGACCACATGGATACACCCTCTTCTTCTCATCTCTGTCTTGAAACAGATTGTAGATCCAACGTGTCCTACAATGTGTCCTCCAACATAACAAGCCAAATATAGACTGAGGCTCTGAAATTGTGAGCAAATGTAAACTATTCACGTTTTTAAATTTATTGAAAATAATTTCTTTGTGTTGCATGGGCATTTGTGTGTATAACCAAGTGCATCTTTGTGTGTAGATGAGAGAAGAGAGCATAGTTCCATCTCTCCAGCATTCCCACAGCCTCTATCTATATCCCTTATATTCTTTTAAAATTGATTTGATCAGCTGTTTGGGTACAATGGTATAAAGCAGAGTAAAAATGTGTCTACTGTTATATGACAGGAAAGAAGTCATCTTATAAAAACTCCTGCAAAAAAGCTATTGTGTAGTCAACTACTGCATCTACATGTCTGTGTGAATTACCTCATAGCCCAGTACTCTTCCAGTGTTCCTATTCCAAGCAATGGCATTCCAGGAAACTTCCATTTCAGAAGCAGAAAAACTCTGGACAGAAGTTCCTCTTGGGGCCAGCTGAGGTTCTACCATCAAGAAAATGACATCACTACATTTAAGAGTGAGCCTCAAGGAAAATGAAACTATAAAGCAAATTATACATAAAGTTACAAGATAAAGCATTCTGACACTGAAGGTAACTTACCATCTTCTCCAGAGTAGACAATGGACACTGTGCTCAGGGATCCTTCTCCTTCATTATTGTACACTCCCACCTTGACTTCGAAGGGAGACAGGGGCATGATGCTGTCATTTCTGTAGATGAACCTTGATGATTCAACAAGTGCTACCCTTTCTTTCATCCAGGTTGTTGAGCCCACTGGCCGGAACATAACGATATATCCAAACCCCTCTCCATTCTGTAGTTCTTCTGGAATGGACTTGGGCAGAATGCAATCAACCACTGAGTATGCCTAAAAAATCTTTTGAACTATTATTATATTTGTTGATTATTTGATGTTTCCTCCAGAATTAGTTATGAATAATTGTAATATTTAAGGGAGAATTTAAAAACTTTTATTAAGAGTGCTGTTTAGGAAAATGTTTCTAATATAACATACTCAGATAGCTCTACTTTTCAGAAAGGAATATAAAGCAGGTATTACATATGTATATTTCGTTCCTTGATCATTCATAAATTGAAATGATAAAGATACACTAGAAGACTGAAAGCTCTAATGATACAAGCTAAAACATAATCTTACATGAATTTTTAAGCTCAGCATAAAATTAACTTATTAACTATTTATCTTGTGCTAAATAGACTTTATTTTCAATATTTTACGATGTTCTTCTAAGATTAGTATGATATAATCACCTTTTAAAAAACAGTATTTCTTCAAAACCCTAAAAAAAACTCTCAGAATTTTATAACATGATTAGCTGTTAGCATCAGTGTGCATTTATCCTGACACAAAATACACATTGTTAATTTCCAGAAACCAAATTCCACACAGCTCAGTGAAAACCTACTCTCACTAAACAAAACTGTTATGTATTCTTTCAGAACTACATAGATATAAAAATTACATTAAATGAACCACCAAGAACAAATGACATTCTGCTTCAAGCTGGACAAACATCCCACCTGATTCTCCCTACACTTTATTTAAGAACCACTAGAATTTTCTGGTTTTCTACAGGAAAATAATATTTCCATGGTGCTATTTATTATTATTATTATTATTATTATTATTATTATTATTTTAATTTGACAAATGCGTAACTGGCCCAGCACCATGTTACTGGTTTTCACATCTTACTGAATCCCTTTAGCTAGCTGCTTGTGCCACGTCTTCCAGGTACACATTCCAGAGCCAAAGATATTATGTACTCCATTATCTGTGAGGGGTTCTGCTGCCGACTCTTTACAGCTCTATAGCAATTAATAAACCCAACGGATTCTTCTTTTAGAGTTTCAGTATGAAGCCTTAGGTCTGGAGGGCAATTAAGTAAAAACCAGTATAGGCAATAAGTAGAAAATATGAGAAATAAAAAGCATTGGGGAAGTAGAGGCTAAGCTCTGTTTGTTTGTTTGTTTCTTTGTTTGTTTTTAAGCTGTCAGGCAGTGGAGTTCATTCAGCAGATAAAGGTGCCTGTCACTCATTCTGATGACCTTAGTTCTATCTCTGAAATCCCATGGTGGAGGAGAGGGCATTTGGAAGTTGTCTTCTGACCTCCATATAGACATGTGCATGCATGTGAGCACATCTACCTATGTGCAGAAAACAAATGAATGTAATAAATATCTCTAAAAGCTCTAAAGTAAGTAGGGAGGAAATAGAACTTTGCCAGTAGCCATGCACAAAAGCTCAAACACAGGAAATGGAAAGAGCTGCATGCATGCTCAAGGGCTTAGGACTGCTGCATCTAGGTCATAAGAACAGCTGACCTTGGAGTAGTAGAACTCCTTTGACCTACAGAAATGGATTATGTTCTCCTTCCTCAAGTGACTGGCTGCTCAGTTGCAGACACCTTCTCATTTCCTCATTACTTTATTTGTAATTTTAAAATAAATGCCCATTAACTGAGATGACCCAAACAAGTCTGTTTTCTCCCATGTAGAACAGTCTAACAAACACAGTGAGGGAAAGATGTGGGGGAAAAACCCACAGCTGGAAAAATGGATAAAGAGTAAGACTTTTCCTCTTGGGGGGGGGGGGGAAGGACCCTGTGCCTTCTTCAACTGTGTTCCCGCTCTTCAACCACTTCTGCTCTCTATTCTATATAAACCACAGAGTGATAGTTAAGTATCCTTCCTCGGTTCCTCCTTCTTACTTATCTTCTTTGAATCTATTAATTATAAGTGAGTACATACCATATTTGCCTTTCTGGGTCTGAATGAGCTTGGAGAAAAATGAGCATATAGATGAGACTGGAGGGTGGGGCAGGACAGAGAGCTTGCAAAGAGAAAAGAAACCATGGGTGGAGGGATATCTGAAACAAGCTGGAGTCCTATGACAGATTAGGCTTCTGGTAGGATGTGGGGGTGACTCTAGTTGAGACTCTTAGCAGCAAGCATCACAGAGACTGAAGAGTCCACTCTCTAACAAGACTAAACTCTAGTGGAGGGAGGAAAACACCAACCAACCCAAAAAATTTTTGACCCAAAATTTACCCTGCCTACAAGATGCACACGGTTAAAGACAGAGGTTGAGGGAATGCCCAACCAATGCCTAAACCAACCTGAGACCCAGCCCATGGGAGAGAATCAACCCCTGACACTATTAAAGATGCTATGTTATGTTTGCAGATAGGAGACTAGCATAGTTGTTCTCTTAGAGGATCCATCTAAAAGATGCTGAGACTAATAATCAAACATTAGGTGGAGTGCAGGGAGTCTTGTGGAAGAATGGAGGAAGCATAGAAGGACCCAAAGGGTACAGGAGCTCCAGAAGAAGACCAACAGGGCCAACTAACCTGGGCCCAGGGAAGCTTACAGAGCATATGCGTAGATAATGGGTAGTTTGGCGAACATGTAGGTCCTCTAGAAAGGGGAGCAGGGGCTATCTCTGACATGGACTCTGTTGCCTACTTTTAATTACTAGCCCTAGAGGAGCTGCCTCAACAAGCCAGAGGAGAAGAAGACGAGCTCAGTCCTGATTCAACTTGATGTGTTGGTCTGAGTTGGTAGTAAAAGGTTCCCCTTTCTGAGGAGTAGGGGAGGAAGAACAGGGGGAAGTGAGAGGGAAGATGGGAACAGAAGGAGAAAAGGGAAGGCCTATTACCTGGATGTAAAGTTAATTAATTAATTAATTTACAAAAGAGTTCTCTTGTTCCTTCTGAGAAAGTTGATAAATTCTATTGAATGTAAAATTTATTAAAATCTATAAGGACTAGTAATGATTGCTGCACTTTAGTATAAATCAAACCCAAAATAATACAGGCCTAGTCACATCTGTCTTGCAGGCTGATTTAAAAAGAAGAATTTGGGTGACATGAATCCACACCTTTCAGACTATGGAATAGAAAGAATTAATCAAAATTGACCAAGAACTTTCTTCCCTGAGTATTGTTTCTCATAGTATGAGTAGGTAGGGTGCAAACTGTTAAGGGAGAAATTAATCAATATTCCTGCACAATTGTAATGTCTTTGAAAAATAAAAATGAATGGGCAGCATGAGAAGATGTCACCAAGGCTGCAATAGTTGTACTTATATCTTGGAGGCCATCACCAGCTGTTTAACTGGACCTATGGCCCTCTCAATAGAAGTAAACCCAGGAAGGCCACAGGCTCTAAAGGAGAACCCATTGCTTTCACTTTCCTGCACCAGAATAGTTTTTAACTGCATTCCAAGTACCTGTTCTTGTAACCATAAATAAAAGTAGGTTTCACCTCTCATTAAAGAAGCTTCTTTATGTAGCAGGGAGAGGCCATTTAAGAAATCCAAGACTAACCAAAATAAAGAGACAACTTGCATTACTCAACAACAGCTGATAGATACATAGTACAGCTAGCTTCTATCTCTGAGGCTCAGGGAACATTGTGTAAGATGGAACAGAAAAAGAGACAGAGGACTAGAATGTCTGTTGCGCAATAGTGTCTTCTATTCAGGACAGGGAAGCTGCACCCAAAAAATCTCTAACACAAAATACCTAAACAAGACATGCACAGTAATAGTACAAACTAACATGTAAACAGGGATAGAAGAAATCTCACAAAGCTCTATCCACAGATGAAGAGCTACAGAAAACTAATGGTTCCTAAGAGAGGTAGGATCAGCTTTATCAGCTGATGAGCTCCCTCATAGGTCATCCAATCCCAAGTGATTGATCCTAAATACATACACATGAGCAACACTAAAAGGCTGTATTTACACACACACACACACACACACACACACACCGATTAATAATAACAATAAATAATAATAACAATAATAATAATAAGGTACTATGATTTTGAGAAAGAGTGGAGGTAAGAGAGGAGGAGTTTCAAAGGAGAGAGGGAGCAGTAGGAAAAATGTAAAAAGCGTTCTTATGTATGAATAGTTATGTATGAAATTCTCAAATTAAACAATATAAATAAAATAAAATAAGTGTGGGAACATCACCACACTTCCTAATTTTTATGCTCTATGGATATTTTAGGACTATAATAGCCGAGTCAAATTTTATAAAAGAGACTAAATTATTCACAAAGTTCAACATTTCTACTTTGTATAAGAAGGGTGCCAACCTCAGTCATGGGCCTTTATCTCTATAGTGTTTTCTCGTGTATTCCTGTGTATAGCATATTAGATAGGACACACCACTTTACACTTTAACTATTAAATACCATAAAATGAGAATAAGTAATAATATTCTGTTTGTATTTGACTTACTTTTAATATCATAAATACTATCTCAAATTTTGTAATGTAGCAATTTTAAATTCCAAAAAACAATGCAAAATAGACATAACCTCACACACAACTCACATACAGAATACATAAAAACAATTACATAAGAACCAAGGAATTTGTCATCTCAGAAGACAAAGAGTCCAAAACAGGAAATCAGCAAAACTTAAGTCTACTGCAAGAAAGATTCTTTTTTTTATTTTAAATATTTAATTAAAGTTTGATGAATTTCACATACTGAAGATACTAAGTCAGATACCTATAAGGATATACATTGAAAGGAGAAGTAAAAGAATATACTATACCAGTAATATATGATACACAATGATATACTATACACAATGATATACTAGACAATTAATGATCTATACGGCCTCTGATAAACGTAGAAATCTAAAAGTCTTATTTGTCCTCAAAACCAAAAGCAATTTTCTAGCTAAACTCCCTTGAAATTTCAAATTCAAATGAGCTGGTATGATATGTTTGACTGACTGCCTAAAGTTTCTTCAGTCAAACTCTGTTCCCCATGAGTTAGGACAACATAGGAGAGTATGGGATAAGAATTCTGTATTTAAATGCTCCAGGTCCCATGTAAACCACATTTTACCACTCAGTCTCTTTGGGTGACAGCTCTGTTCCCTATCTTCTAACCTTATTCTGAGGACTAAATAGCACAAGCCTCTCTCATGGCCCACACCCCCCTGAAGTGTTCCACAAGTGGGGCTTTCCTCTCTTGTAGGCCTCAAAGCTCCTTTGGTCTCATTTCACAGCTCTTTCCAAAGAATGGAATGGAGGGATCACCACCAGCTAAGTATATCCTTTCATAATATGCACAGGAAACAAGAGGCATAGAAGCAAGGATCATTCTCAGGGCAAATGCAGCAGGTGTGGTACTGCCATTTGTAACACTGAGGAAACAATGTCTACTCTCTAGTTCTCCCCAATATAAACGGGATTAATGATTAACATTATCTCACAATTGTTTGCTCATTCTCTTCTCTCTTTCTTTCTGCCTGGTGCAGAATTCCTCAGCAATGTCTTTAGTGACATTTTGCATCAGATAATTCTTGTGGAAATCTGTCTTATGTATTATGGGCTGTTTGGCCGCAGTCTGGCCTTCACTCGGCTTTCTCCCACCTGCCTACACCCATTATCTTTGGTTATTACCAAATGAGAACAATCTTTGTAAAATTCCAGTTATTGCAAACATTTGCTGGTGATAAATTGATCTTTATTTCCGGATAATAACCAGTATTTCAGCACATCACACATTTCAATATTTAACGGAAATATCCATAGCCATCCTGTTGTTAAGATAATGTTAAATGTTTAAAGAACCAGGTTTGTACTCCTGTCTCTTGACCAAAGAGAACAAGAGAGGACATTTCTTCCTTCTGCATTATTGTGTGAAATGGAACACACAGAAATACAATCTCCATATTTAGGGAATTTAGGGAATACTAGTTCTCTCAACAGACAAATTTCTGGGAAACTCCTAAAATGAAGTGAGAGCTACACAGCTTCTGATGGCAGAGAAAAGCTATGTAGATATGTACTGACCGTCTACTCAAAGAGCAAGAAATCTTATTGTTTGAGATCATAGGTGTCATTCTCAATAGGGATTATTCATGAGCCACACTGTCAGGGACTCTGTGCTAAAGCGCTAAAAAGGGAGTCTATCCAACAAACTTTGGATACTCTTGAATAGCTGCTTGAATGGGGCATCTATACGGCCAATGAAATTATCTAGTACATGTCACATGAGGACTATATTAATAAAAGTTAAAACGAATCAGACACATCTCACTCCTCTATCAAGAACCTGCACCTGTTTTTGTTTGTTTTGTGTGTGTGTGTGTGTGTGTGATAATGACTAAAGCAAAATTATAAATGTGTCAGAAATCCACATCTCTTTACCTCTTTCCTTTTTGTCTCCGAACCACTAGAAATCAGGGAAGTCAAGAGACAACAGAGTGAATGAGGAAGAAGAAATGAAAGTGAGCCATGGAAGAAAAGTTAAAGAGATGACGGCATTCCTCTACATGCTATAGAATTCCTGGCTAAAGAAGAATGGAGCTAAAAATAAAGACCTATAGACTGACCGAAACTAAAGCAGTCAGGGCCAACCTTCACCCTGCAGGCTGCTTGCAGCTGCGTATAGGCATAGATGACTGAGTGTATGAATGATGATGAATACAAAGCAGCAAATTTATGTAAAATGTTAGCAGAGATTTTTTTTTTAAAGAAAATATCTCAATTGCAGTATTCTGGAATGCCAACTTGGAAAGTGGCAGCATCGTGTTGCAATGTTGAAAGACTGGACATGCCTGCTTTCAAGTTTATGATACCAAATGATAATAAAACGGGTAGTCTGAAAAAGAAAAATGAATCTATATGTTAATCTGAAAAAGAATGACCAGCAAAGCTATTTGATGCTCCTAAGATTTCATTTAGATGCTGGGAAAGAACAGCTGATGCTGTAAAGAGCACTGTTAGAACAATAATCAGTTTTAGCTTTCGAAGTCTACCATACCCACAATGAAAGAACTCTATAGAGAATCAATAAAACAGTACCTAATCCACCTAGTCTTAGCAACACTACTGACCACTGCTCAGAAGATACTGGCATTGTTTTTTTATGTATATGTGACAACTTGTGCTGAATTAGTCACATTCCCTTACTTTAGTAGAAATAAGAATTGCATACTGCCTACCACCCCTAAATAATTCATCGTCAGGGTGGTGTGCTTTTACGCCCTAAACTTTTATATGTCCTCTCTAGTGAACAAATTGAAATTTGTTTTCTTGTATTCTCTCTGGCCTGCTAGTTTTTTTTTTTTTTTTCCATTCAAAAATGATTTAGTCGGACAGAAAATTACCTCCCACGTAATGACAAGTTCCGATCTGCTTCCACCGCCTCCATTGATATTTACTGGTGCCACAATGGGAACTGCAAACAACAAAGAGAAAGGTGATGGTTAGCATGAAAGGAATATCTTCATCAAGAAGAGTTCTGTTTGGGAGGGTTTCACCGTTCAAATCTCTTACCCTGGCAAACCGAGAGAGTGCTGCATTTTTAATGAACATAAATGATGTTTACACATATCCAAATTTCTAAGTGAGAGGACACAGTTTTGTTTGATACATGGGCACGTTGGCTCCAAAATTAATTAAAAATCAAGTAACATCGTGTGTTTGACATTATTATGCATCATCTACTAATTGGCAAAATGATGTTGCATTCAGATGGTAACGGTGACACTGCTGATTTAGTGCCTAATTATACAGTTGTGCTGTAAACAAGTTACTCAGGCAGTACATTAATTCATTATTTTTTGTCAATAAACAAGCTGGATGTTTTTCTTTCTTAACTATCAGGATATTTTAACATTTAAAATTAAATTCTTGTGCTCAAATCAGTCTGGAGTGAGTGAGAGTAATTTTTAACTTTTCCCATGTAAAATCAGTTTTCTCCTGTTAAGAACGTGACTGAGGGGTTATGACTTCAGCTTACTCTTTGGATGTAAGACCAAGACACTGAAAATACTTGGTGTTTAAGGAAGAATAATACGCTGTTCAACTCTGTGAGGACTGGTGGCAAATACGGCTCAAGGTAAATGGTAAACATAAGAAGTCCTGGTATACATCTCAAAGGGAGTAGGTAGCAAGAATACAGATTTTATCACATACTTAGAGGGATTAAAAATATTCTTTTTGTTGGCCTAGTAGCAAAAACATCCTATGTCTGTAATAATGGATAAGGCTACTACATGATTTTTGAGCTCTGAAATGTCTAAAATTATTTAAATTATTTTTTGTTCAAGATTCAGAAGTTGGGTTTGGTATCTTTAGGTATAGTTGGGAATTTTAGTCGAAGACAAAAATGTGGGGGGGATGGTACTCAACTGTTCATGTCAGTTTTCTTTCAGACCGTTGTGACTACCAAAAGAAACACATGTTGTTCACTTTATTCTTTTATGCAGATGGTTAGTACTATCAACAAAATAATGGTATAATAATCTGATGTTCTTTCCTAAGGTAGCATTTTTCCAACATACATTTTAAGGTTCAATTTACCCTTCACTTTGTTTGCTTTCTGATTCTCATAAATATCAGATGAACATAAACCATACTGTCTAACTATTGTCATCCATTTTGTCAAAAGCAGCATGGCCAGGGTTTTGTCTTCAGAGTTCCTGGATTTATTGAACTTGACAGCATCACATATATTTGAGACTTTTTCAAACTTTAGTTATATAAGCAATATTTTTAACTTAAACTTACATGATCCTTTTCTGGTTTCCAACATAATGAAAAGCAGAAAATATTCCCTTTTAAAAGCCTATTTTTAAAAATTTCTGTATGATTATGTCTGTCTAAATGAACAGTATCTATTCGCAGGTGCCTATGGAAACCAGAAGAGGTGCTAGAACTGGAGGTACAAATAGTTGTGGCCCACTCATTCTGGGTGCTTTAAACTCAGTCCAGGTCCTCTGGGAAAAGCAGGAAGAGAAGAGCTCTTAACCTCTGAGTCATGTCTGTGCTCCGTCCTTTCTTAATTCTATTTTAAAATTAGCTGTCCTTAATTCTAAAACCATATTCAGGTCTTTGATGATTAGAAAGAGGACCTGTGTAGAATATCATCATGAAAACCTCTAAGTCTTACTGCAAGGAGAGCAATAAAGTATGTTCACAGTAGGCAAACAAATGTTTCTGCACTAACTTCACAATTGGGATCAGCCCTGCCAAAGCAACAAAAGATAAAGTGGCGGTGAAGCAAACAAAAACGGGAAACAAAAGGTAGAATTCAGAGTCAGCATCTAAAACTGACTCAGTGGACCTATGCTGGAGCTGAAGGTACTCCTCATCTGGGTGGAGGGTAAAGTGTTATGTGGACAAATCTTGGGTGTGGAGTTCCACAGAAAAGGGTTCAAATTCAGAATGTCAGAAATGAAGGTCTTAAGTCCTGTTCTTCACTTCATCCTCAAAAACAAACAAACAAAAACTCTTATTAAGCGCCATACCCCAGCATGATTTAATTTTGTCAGTATTTCCAAATATATTTTTCTATAATCCATTCTAAAACAATATTCGGTGTCAGGGGTGAGATGTGCATGGCTTATTAGGACACTTGCCTGGTACAGGACAGGCATCATGTTCAGTTCCTAATATTACACAAGCAAACAAGAAGAAAATACTTTCCTTAAAAAAAAAAGTTATTGGTCTCTGATAATTTTGATAAATGTGTACAATTTATGGAAACTCACATAACTCATGTTTTTTTTTTTTTTTTTTTTTTTTTTTTTTTTAATAAGCAACAAGGACA